TTGATAAAAAAAAGGAGAAAAACAACTCTCAAGAAACTCTATAAATTCTCTCTAGTATTGGAAGAAAGCTAGAATGCTTTGGGATGGTTTTAAAGCTAAATGAGCTAGGGTATTTATAGTTGAAGCTTAAGAACTAATTTGTAAATACCTTAAATTACAATGACTAAAATTAATTATCTCATTGCCCAAAAAAATCAACAATTTCAGCTATGCATTTGGCGCCCCCTAAATTTGAAAAATTTAATATTTTGTTTTCCTCAACTTTCCACCGAAAGTTTGGTAAGTGGTAGTGCCACTTGACTTTTCAACAATCTCTCACTTGAAGATTTGATTGGGGCAATCATATCTTCACACCATTCTTTCTACCTTGTACCATCATGTTGCTTACGTCTCTGACAGGCCACAAGAGGATCGACACCAAGTAAATTTAAGCATTGATTGCCTTCGTCATAAAATCTGCTATGTTGTCTTTGGTATAGATCTTCTGCATATCTACTGTCCCTTCTTCCACCTTTTCACAAATGAAGTGGTACTGAACTCGTATGTGTTTTATCCTTTAATGAAATGATGGATTCCTTGCTAGATGCAAGGCGCTTTTACTGTCACAAAATAGAGAAACATGCTTTTGATTGTGCCCAAGCTCCTCCAATAGCATCTTCAACCAAATTGCTTCTTTACTGGCTTGTGTAGCTGCTACATATTCTGCCTCTGTTGTGGACGTAGCCACAACTGACTGTAATTTTGAAACCCAGTTTATAGCTCCACCAACAATTTTGAACACATATCCTGTAGTAGATTTGCTTTTATCCAAATCCCTTGCATAGTCAGAATCTACATACCCATTGATTAGTAAATTTGATCCTTCGTAACATAATGCAAAATTTGAGGTCCCTTTGATGTATCTCAGGATCCTCTTTACTGTATTCCATTGCTCTTTGCCTGGATTCGCCATGTACCAACTAACCACTCCCACTGTTTGTGCAATGTCTAGTCTTGTGCATATCATAGCGAACATTAAACTTCCCACTGCTGATGCATACGGTACTCGAGACATCTTCATCCTCTCTTCTTCATTGTTAGGACTCATACTGGAGGATAATTTGAAGTTAATAGGAATAGGGGTAGAAATTGGCTTACAATCTTGCATGTTGAATCGTGACAAGATCTTCTTCAAGTAATTCTTTTGTGAAAGCCAAATCTTCCTATTATTTCTGTCTCGGTGAATTTGCATCCCTAGAATCTTGTTTGCTGATCTCAAGTCCTTCATTTCAAATCCCCTAGCCAGTTGTGCCTTCAATTCTTCAATATGATCTTTGTTGGGTCCTGTAACCAATATGTCATCCACATACAACAACAATATAACAAAATCGTTATCACCAGACCTCTTGAAATAAGCACAAGGGTCTACATTAAGTCTATTGTATCCAAGGCACATAATGAATGAATCAAATCTCTTATACCAACACCTTGGCACCTGCTTTAGACCGCACAGAGATTTGTTCAACCTGCAAACCAAGTTCTTCTTTTCTTTTTCTTCAAAACCTTCAGGTTGGAGTATGTAAATCTATTCTTCAAGATTTCCATGAAGAAAAGTTGTTTTAACATCTAGCTGCTCTAGATGTAAATTCAATGTAGCACACATTGCCAATACTACTCGAACTGTTGTTAGTCGAACCACAAGAGAAAAAATTTCATTAAAATCAATACCTTCTTTTTGAGCATATCCTTTGACCACCAGTCTTGCACGATACCTCTCTACTTGATCGTCAAAATTTCGCTTAATTTTGAAGACCCATTTGTTACCAATTGGTTTCCTTCCTTTTGGTAGTGTCGCAAGGTCTCATGTATTATTTTTATGAAGGGCTTCAATTTCTTCTTGCATCGCCATCATCCATAGTGAAGCATCTGAGCTGTTTATTGCCTCCTGGTATGTTGATGGCTCACCGTCCTCTGTTAAAAGGCAGTATGCAATATTACCTTCTATAACATAATCTGAGTGCCAATTAGGACGTCTTCTCACACGATCTGATTGACGAGTTGTTGGAGCTTCAGAACTCTATGGTTCTTGTTCATCATGAGATGGTTCTGCTTCAGAAGAATATCCTTGTTAAACTTCCTTTTCCACACGTATCCGAGTAATCTCTGACTTTTCAACGCTATCGTTGTCTTCTTTTCTTTGTAGTTTATCTTCTACAAATATAGCATCCCTGCTGATGATCACTTTGCGGGCAGTGGGATTCTACACGCAATACCCCTTTACTCCATTAGCATTCCCCAAGAATTTGCATTTCCTGGATTTTGGATCCAGCTTTGAGATTTCTTGGGAGTTGTACATCACGTACACAATACTTCCAAATACATGGAGGTTTGAATAATTAGCTAATTTACCAGTCCACATCTCCATTGGTGTCTTCAGCTCTATTGTAGTTGATGGAGCTCGATTCACCAAATAACAGGCGGTATTGATTGTTTCTGCCCAGAATGATTTTTCTAGGCATGCATCCCTCAACATTGCTCTTGTTCTTTCTAACAAGGTTCTGTTCATCCGCTCTGCCACTCCATTTTTTTAGGAGTGTTCGCCACTGTGAACTGTCTTTTGATGCATTCTTTCCTGCAAAAGTCATCAAATTCTTCACTTGTGTATTCTCCTCCATTATCTGTTCTGAAACACTTGATCTTATTTCCAGAATCAAGTTCCACTCGCGCTTTGAAGTTTTTGAAAGTTGAAAACACATATGACTTCTTCTTAATAGGGTACACCCAACATCTCCTGGAGTAGTCATCAATAAATGAGACAAAGTATTTTGCTCCGCCTATGGATATAACTGGTGCTTACCATACGTCAGAGTGAACCAATTCTAGAACACTTTTGCCTCTAGAATTTGATGTGTTGAATTTCAACCGGTGCTGCTTACTTTTTATGCAATGCTCACACAAAGGAAGTGATACCTTTGTTAAGCCTGGAAGTAGCTTTTTCTCCACAAGGACTTTCATTCCTTGTTCTGACATGTGTCTAAGTTTCTTATGCCATATCATTGCAGAATCTGAACTACATGTGGCAACAGAGGCTTCTGCTTCTAGCAAAGTCTCTCCCTTCAGCATGTACAAGTTTACAGCTATCTTTTTTCCTTTCAGCACCACAAGCGCTCCACGAAACACCTTCATGATTCTTTTCTGTATTTCAATCTTGCTTGCATTATTATCCAATAATCCGTAGGATAATAAATTTTTCTTCAGACCTTTCACGTGCCTCACATCTCGAACAACTTTAATTGTTCCATCATACATCTTCAATTTGATGGTTCCCATGCCAATGATCTCTAAGGCATGATCATTGCAACTATACACATATCCTCCTGAGACATGTTCATACTGATGGAACCATTCTCTTCTTGAGGTCATGTGATATGTTGCTCCTGAATCAATGAGCCATATATCTGCAAATCTTTTTCTGCCTTCCACGGTGGTTGACACTTCATAGCATAAAGCATCTCCATAATCTGAAGTGTTTGTGGTATTGCCTTATGGATTGGAGTTTTTATTTAGACTCCAACAATCCTTCTTCAAGTGACCCTTCTTTCCACAGTTGTAGCACTTTAAATTCTTCTTGCTCCTCGACTTCGATCTACCATCGTTGTCAACGCTTCTGCTTGTTGTAGATTTACTTGTCTATCTTCCTTGTTCTTGCGTCGATTTTCTTTTTAGAGAATAGCAGCTGCAACGTCATCGAAGACTAGACTGGTGGCATTACTGTTTGTTAAGTTGATGATGAGTTGATCATACGAATCAGGTAGACTTTGAAGTAAAAGTTCAGCACGTTATTGTTCTTCTATTGTACATCTTAAGGATGTAAGCTGAGAAAATAACGTGTTCAGTGTGTTTAAGTGCTCCGTCACTGAAGTAGATTCTGACATACGGAGAGTGTACAATTTCCTTTTAAGGAAAATTTTATTGTGCAACGATGTGGCCTCGTACAATTTGGTGAGATGATCCCATATCTCCTTAGTTGTCTTCTCCTCCTCAATGCTTGACAATACTCCATCTTCTAATGCTAGATGAAAGTTTGCCATAGCATTCACATCTATCTCGATCCATTTGTTGTCATCTGTGAAATCTATTGGCCTTTCACTAATAACTGTTAGACAACCGTCTTTCTTCAGGATGACCTTCATCTTCAATTTCCACAATGAGAAATTTCTCACATTGAATTTTTCAATATCAAATTTCGTTGCCATAGCTTCTATTACGGATAGCTCCCACTATTTCACTATCGTGAATAGTTCTCTGGAACCTTCAAAGAATGAGTAATAACTTCTTACTTTCTTATGTTGGATGATCCACCTTTTGGTGGCAACCACAAAGACAATAAGCATATATTACACACTCAAATCTGGCTCTGATACCAATTGTTGCGGAATACTGCTATCGGATAGAGCAAAATCACAACTGATAATTTGAGAAAATAAAAATGAAGATAAAAGAGACACAAAATTTACGTGGAAAACCCCTAAATTATATAGGGTAAAAAACCACAGGCAACGATAGAAGAATTTCACTATGAGAAAATAGGAATTACAACTTCTCTCGATCTACCAAAGAGAAAACAATGATAATTCTCTCTTAATAAAAAAATGAGAAAAACAACTCTCAAGAAACTCTCTAAATTCTCTCTAGTATTGAAAGAAATCTATAATGCTTTGGGCTGGTTTTGAAGCTAAATGAACTAGAGTATTTATAGTTGAAGTTTAAGGACTAATTTGTAAATACCCTAAATTACAATTACTAAAATTAATTAACTCATTGCCTAAAAAATCAACAATTTCAGATGCCCCTAAATTTGACAAATTTAATATTTTGTTTTCCTCAACTTTCCACCTAAAGTTTGGCAAGTGGTAGTGCCAGTCGACTTTTCAACAGGTGAAACTTTTGGAAGGGATAACAGAAGTTGTGGACAAGAGAGAACAACTGGTACAAGGAAAACATGGACCTCGCCAAATTTCAGTGCACTGAGAATTGTAATCGCTGATGAATATGATAACAGGAGCCGAATTGGGTTGGGCATCGACTCCACACCTAAAGAGAAAAGATCGAAGCTTTTCTTCCATAAGCAAAGGTGTGGTGATCTTCCTCAGGCCAGGGGTGCTTTAAGTTTATTCTATCAGGTAAAGAACCAGGGGAATATTTGCTACATTTCTTGTGCATGAATATTTGCCAAGTACTCGGGGAACCTAATAAACGTAATATATCGCAGTGTTCTGGCTGCGTCGGCGGGTTATTACGACATCTGCAAAGTCCAGTACACTTGCAGTTTAGTTGCTCACTGCAACTTACACTTGCTTTGCTGATAGCTATTTTTCCTATTGGTGAGTTATTTCTCTATTTCTATTCGGGTGTATTTTGATTGCGAAGTAGTCAAGGACTTTGTATGATCAAGCTGCAAGGATCAGGAATTGCGTAATACGATCGATCCTTTTAACGTATATGTTTAGATAATCGTTCGTAGCATTTTAGACCATGTTTTGGATTAAGAATCCATTGATGTGCCTTTTAACATTTATGCATATGAATTTGCACTACTGAAGGAATCTTTCTTATTGTTCTTTTAACAATGCCTGCAGTGCTGTTTGTGCTTTATTCGAGTTGAGAGCGAGTGGCTGCTATGTGCTGTTGATCAAGACCAAGAGGTAAATCTATCTCCTCTTTTATACTCGGTTTAGCAACTCGTATCTCATATCTGCGGTACCATTTGCGTAGTCGAAATGCATCAATCGAACACAAAAAATTTAGAACATCTTTGATCTTTTAGTAACTGTGAGTGCATGGTACCATTTGTTGCTGGAAGAAATGCATCGATCGAATGTGCGCGCACACTGAGATTATGACTTCCCTTTTAGGCATCGACGGTTCCGATTACATTTTAAGTCTCTCTTAGTTATGGAACTAAACAAATTAAGCCTTGATCTCATTTTATTACTTGTATTTGCAAACACCCCTGGTGAAGTTTCATCCTAATTCCGTCCTTGCTTTTATGCAATCCGGATGGTTACCGCAACCCATTTGGCTGTTGTTTTTGGTTATCGGCTTTCTCCCTTGCTGATATTTATTGCCATAAATTGCAGATATCATTCATTATATCCACGACCGTAGTTTAAATCCCTGCTTTCAGACATTCTACGTGAGATGGGCAGGGTTGATATGGTTATCGGTGACTTCGTAGTATTCTTGTTTCGTTAGACATGTCCCAAAAGGTTGAATCCTCGGTTCTTAACCGTTTTCCCCTGCAGGTGTTGGATCTATTTCCCCAGGCATCGGATTTCCTTCGGGGGTGAAGATTGCAAGCTTGAATCTCGTTCACGGCTTGTTTTCGAGATCCGGATGAAACTTCGTCTCGAGCTTGCTCGGATACGAAAAAGGATTTGTTGCCATTTCATTGCCACACTGTAAATGCATTGATGGTCTTGCATGCATATAATATATATGTATGTGTTTGAAGGATACTTTGTGGTTAGCACAGACAGCAGTCTCATGGTCATTTCCCCTGTGAGCTCAGCTGAAGCTTCATTTGCTTAAATAAATATTATATTAAGAAGGATTGCCAATTGCAGCATTATGAACTTGACCCCTACCCCTTTGCAAAGTATGACATTTGGGTGATCATTCAATATAGTCGACTAAAAAATTTCTAGTTGACGAGTCCTTTTTAAAATTCAAATTTTATTTGAAAATTTTCGAGTTAAGTTTATAAAATCGAGTCGAGTTAAATTGTTTGAGTTTATATCTAAATTTAATTGTAAATATTTATAATATTATGGTACTATTTGATTTCAATTTAAACAGTTTTTTATAATCATATATAATACGTAAATATTTTTTTATATGTGATATACATATATCATACAAAGTTGAGGGACTCGGCTCAAATTTTAAAAACAATATACTAATTAGTAAAAATCTTGAGTTATTCGAGTTTTATTTTATAACTCGACTTGAATTTGAAATTTTTCGAGTCAAGTCGAGTCTATAAAGTTACAAATTGAGTTATTTTGAGTTAAATTTTTTCACATTGAGCTGAATAGAAAAGATCAATTTTTCAAGTCGAGTTTTGTTCACCTTTAATTTACTCGAAATTTGATTTCATATTATTGTGAGTAGATTCTTTTGAATCTATAACTTGAAATAGAAATAAATGAGGTGAGAATTGGAAAATGTAGAGCTTATTTCAAAATACAAATAGAAACCATAAAATATTACCTAATCATTATACTAAAGTGGTAGTATATTGTCTTAAAATTAATAAATGAGATTAAGTTTTAAACCTGAAAATAGTATAGGGACTAATGGCATATTTAAACCTATTCGTAAATATAACTTTGGGAGGGGTCTAAATGTAAATGAAAGAAATACCAAAATCAAATCAATCTTTTGTCACATTAAAACGAGGGTTGTTGAGAATCAAAGTCATAATCATTGATTTTTATGATAAAACAATAAATTAATTATTAAGTAGCAAATCGAACAATTTTAAAATAAATATAAAAAAGGCAAAAATCCAAAAGTGACGATATTTTCAATTATAATAGTAAGTATTGCAAAATCAATGTTCATGGATAACATCTATAACACTATATTAATGTTAACTTGGAGGGACGAGAGTCTCGTGATTATCATTAATTTCTGTCCCCATGTTACGTACCCAATAAATGTACTAATCAAGTAATATCGGAGATAAATATTTTATTGTTGTTCTTTAAGATTTTGAATTCAAGCATAAAGAATGTTAGAGATATAAACGTGTAATGTTAAATGATTAAGAGTTATCTTTGAATAAATATTGTTTTGTATTTATTTCAAATATATATATATATATATATATGAGTTAAAATTCAGTTACACAATGTAAAACTCTTTAGTTTTATACAGATTTATGATCGTTGGATGACTGAAAATAGATTGTTGAGATCGACTCTTTGTGTTTTTTCCCTGTAAATATCTTCTCATTTCTTGCTGTTAATCTCAACCATATATTTTCACTCATCAAATAATTCTAAATTTATGTAAAACTAAAAGAATTTTTTATTGTGAAATTGGATTTTATCTCTCTATATATAGTATTCAGAATAATTTTTAAAATGATTGTTGAATTACTTTAAAGTTGTAAATTACTTAAACAATTATAAACTATAATACGAAATGACAAAAACTTATCATCTAAAGCATTTTTAATAAAAATATAATTACAATAGTAATTAAAAATAGTATACAATAAAATTAAAATAAATAATAACATACTGTTATTAAATAGAAGTTTTATACTACTGTATTATTGATTAAAATATTTTTTATATTTTTTATGTCATTTTCATTAGAATATTAATTAATTTAAAAGTTTTTTTTAACTCGTGCTTTTGTATCTATATTATAATCTATAGATTATATACTCATGTATATGATTTGTGCCATGCATTTCATACCCATAAATATGTATATATATTTATAATAATTTTTTAAAAATTAAGATTGTATTTATGAGAAATAAATAAATAAATAAACTAAAATGTGAAATGAATACATAAAAAATATCACCACCCATTACAAATTTCTACTGATAATAATGAATAATTATAACTATTTTTATAGTTTTCAACCTTTCAATTCAAGCAAAGTGTAATTACTAAAATACCCTCCCACTCTAAAAAATAACATAGAGATGCGGAAAAATCAACATAAGAAATGCAATAAATCGTAATTACTTTCTTAATCTGAGAGGTGTTTGGACGGAGAATGTGGGATTCCTATAGAAATGGAATTTATATTCCCCCGTTTGGTTAGTTTGAGAATCTCATTTCCGGTAATGTAAGATTACTAATAGTGAATTTTTAGGGTATATTACCGGGAATGTCGTTACCTCCCTTTCTTTAGGTATTGTTGGATTACTGGTGTTTTGGACTAAAATGTCCTTAAATTTTTATTTTTTTTTTAAATATCATTCTTCTGTCATTGAATAATAAAAATTATACGAAAGTTAAATTACAAATTTATCCTTAAATTATTTTAGATTTATAAAAAAATCTACAATTAAAATTTTATATAAAGTTCAGAGGTTAAAATAAAATTTTACCATTTCATTAAATTTTTTTATATATTTTTAATTTAAAAAAAAATTATATAAATATTATGAATTTAAATTTTTAAAGAAAAAATATAAATATTTTTCAACTTGTAATATTATACAAATATATAATAGGGACAATTTGATCAAATATACATTTTAATAATCTTTTATTCCTTTAATCAAACATGATAATCTTACATTCCTGCTACGCCAACCAAACACAAAATACAATATTATCAGTAATCTTATTCTCTGGTAATCTTACATTCTCAGTGATAATCTTATATTTCGTGATCCAAACGCACCCTCAGTAGTGTTAATTATCAGGCTTGAGGCAAGTAAAACGACGACGTTACAGCAATGCTAGTATAATCCCTGCAACTCAACGCTTTCAACAAGCCCCAGGAAGAACTCTTGTCGGAGCCCCATTTGTCATTATCAGCCGCCTTTTTCCCGTCGTCGGAAAACATGACCGACGGATTCCGACGGAACTGCCGGCTTTTTATATCATTGAGCTCCATCTCCGGCGGAAACTTAACGGATCCGAACACTAAAACATACCACTTTGGCTTGACAACTTTCTTAGGCGAAACCTCGGATTGGTCGAAGCTTTTCTCCTTCGTGTCGGAACGGCGAAGATTCTGCTTTTGAGAATCCAAAGAACGACTGATCCTAAGAAGCGCGGCGCTGTTTTTGGTGGAGCTGTTGCCGCTGCTACGTAAGTCGGAAAGCGACTCGGATCGTTTTCGTAAGATATGGTGAGTCGTTTTTCCTCCGAAAGGAACGAGTTTACCACCGGCGATTATATCATCGGCTGGACACATATCGGAACCTTTTTCGTCGTTGCGAAACTCGAAGGAGGATTCGGGTCGAGCTCGGATGTGGTTCGGACTATGCCACTGTTCATTTCGAGGGTTGATCTTGGTTTCTAAATCCAAGGGAAAGTCACATAGAGAAAGTGCTTCTGCTTCTTCTTCTTCTTCTTCTTCTTCAACTAATTGGTCTTCATGAAGAACTTGGATATCATCAGCAATGTGTTCTCCCATGGTTTTTCTCCTTTGTGCTTGAGATCAACTTGGAAGATATATATGTATGGATGAGATTAACCGTCTTAAAAACTTTTCTTCTATGTTTGGATGAGATGATATATATATATACACACACGTGAAAATAGATAATTAAAATTAATAATATGAAATAAAAAAATATTAATTAAAAAATAAATAAGAAATTAATTTTAACCGTCTATTTCTATACTTTTTTTCATATATAACAATGTAATTTTTTTAATATTTATTCATCTAACTGTTTTAAATTTATATAAAACTAAAAGAATTTTACGGATCATAGCCATATTATATATATATATGTGAAAAAAGTATGGAGATTAGGTTAAGAGATGAATTTATTAAAGATGAAAATAAAGGGGGTTTCTACAATGATAATTGTCCATATATAGCTTCTAGACTACATATAAAAGTAAAACAAATGAAGAGAAAGACAAGGTGAGCATCTAGAAACCAAGTACAAACATATGGAAGAAATTAGGGGGCCTAGTAATTTAACAACTCTTCCTATATACGGCAAGTTCTATGAAAATTGAAGTTATCGAAGGAATTTAAGAATTCTTCATTTGTTAACCTAACAAATAATCAAACTATTAATATTTTTTATAAACTGGAGTGAATATAAAATAATATATAGTTAGAGATTTTTAATTTTTTGATAATGAAGATTTATAACTCTGTATATGTTGTGGTTGAACTTAAGATCCTAAAAATAATAATAAATTCTTTAATTATTGAGATAATTAGATTAGTACCATCAAACTACCCATTATAAATAACTTGAACGATTGAAGTTATTGAATAAATAGTGATGGGTTGAATTGAATAAAAGTGAGTGGGTGGCTAACATGGTATCTTATTTACGCCCATGGGGACATTGGGCCATGGTTCTCTCTGTGTTAACGGGTGGTGGCTGATTCAACAAGTTTTCACATTCATCATCAAGAACATGTTGACATGACGTATAACATCTTGCTTGGCCATTATAACTTTGTTGTCATATCATACGTGGGATAATAAATGAAATGACACTGAGTTATTTGATTTTGATTCAATAAGAGTTTTATTAATATTTAAATTAAATTATTTTGACTTGAGTTTGAATTTGATTCGAATTTATAACGAGTTAAAGTGAGTTACTTGATACTCGTCTTGAAAAGTTCGTTAGTAACTTAGATTTTTTAATTAAATTATTAATAATATTAACATTTATACATTATTTTAAAAAAATACAATATAAGGTTTTCATTTACTTAAGGTTTAAATTTAAACTGGAGTTCGAATTTGAACCGAGCTCAAGTTGTAACTTCGATTGAGCTAAGTATGAGAATGTTTTGAGTTCAATTTTTTTTCGAGCTCAAGTCGAGTTTGAAAATTTTAAACTTGCGAACTTGAGTTGAGTCGAGCTTCAATTTTTAATTTCGAGTTTAACTTTAAACTTTTTGAGTTGAGTTAAATTCAACAATATTTGATTCGAGTCGAACTTAATAATACTCGAACTTAACTAGTTTACAACCCTAAACATTGGTGGTTCACAATGCCTAAATTTTGCTCCATCTTTCTTATTTGCTCTTACAACTTGATTTTTTATGTTTGTTTTCTTCTAGAGGAATGCTCTTTTATATTCACTAATATATAAGTTTAGAACTGTTTATGAATTGAGTAATTTATCCCACTCGATTAAATTTAATTTAGACTTAAATTTTTATCAATGAGTTGTTTGAACTAAAATTAAAAATAGATAATTCAATATATATATATATATAATTATAAAATATAAAACAAAATTATATTTTTAATTACTTTTAAGAATAAAAATTAATTATTTGAGTCGATTAGACCTGATTTATACCGTGACCTCGAAAACTTTTTAAAGTCACATTTTGACTAGTTAATACATCTAGCTTGATCAATAAAACTTTGATTTAGTAAGAATCTTGCTCACATTCTAATTTTATTGACATGAGTTTTACTCTAATTTTGATACCTCATTCTACTTTTATTAGCACAAATTTTATTATGTATATTCCACAATTACATCAATTAAAATTATATTATCTTAAAAACAATGATGTTATCACAATATAATATATTTATTATTCTCCCATAGCTGTTATTAATTTTTCTTTTTTTTATTTTTGTGATCGATAGTGATACCAGTCTTTGTACTGATTACTGAACGTCGATATTCATTATTTTTTTCTTTTTTTAAATATAGCATTTTTTATTTTTTATTTTTTTATTCTTAATAATTCTACCTTTTTTGCACGTATCCTGCTTTTATGACATGTTTTTCTCTGCCTCTATGTCATGTTTTTGGTTATTTGGTTGTTGTTTTGGTTTATATTTTTCAGGGTTGGATTTGACATCACCGTTACTGATTAAGACGACATTTATTTGTTATCATAATGATCTTCTCTACTTTGGATTATCAGATTGAATTTGAATATGCGATTTGCTTTCGTGAGTAGTGTTTTCACATCGCTCGATTCTGATTTGCGCTATGTCGATGGTCTTTCAATAGCTTTATTATCTTTTGTGGTTTGTTTGCTGATGCAGTCAGATCTATTCGTATTTATCTATTGTTCGAGTTTATTTAGTTAGATCTTTTAACTTTTCATTGTATGATCCTTGTGTGGTCATAAGTAGTTGATTTTCTTGTGTTTAGAAAATAATTTGCAGTTGTGATTGTAAACCTTTATTGTAATTTGAATATTTTTTTATTTTTAATAAAATTAGCAATTTCTATAATATATATATATATATAATAAATTTATTTTATTTATTATATATTATTAATTTATTTTAATAATCATTACTAATGTATTTGTTTTTACCATCTATTTACTAACACTGTAACACTCCAATTTAGGGGCTAAAATTAAGAAATTATAAAGTGGTAGATTTAATTTGATATTTTGAAAGAAACAGTGGGTTAAATTGCAAAATTTTAAAGTTGGCAGACCGTTTTAAGAAGTACAGGAAATTTAGTGGCTAAACTTATGATTTAACCATTTTTTTATATGTTAAATTATAAATTCCCCCGTGCACAGGTTCAGCTGAGATTTTCCAGTTTTCCCTCTCCGATCAACCAACTTTCAACTCCGATCTACTCGTCGTCCGACCTCCGATCGACGAGCCGAAACCACCATCGTGTTCGTTGACAACCGAGGAACAAAACCCTTCAAACCTTTCGTCATGAATCATCGCCGTTCGTCGTTAATTTCAGTCGGAAGTATCGTCGGTAATAACCTAATTTCAGTTGGTTTTTCATCGATTCACGACGATCCGAGCATCCGTTTACGACACCTCCCGCACCATCGTGTTCTTTGCATCATTCCGAGTCTGCTGGTATCATCCTTGGTCTCAGTCGACGGTGGCGCGTGAGGAGGTGAAGCGGTCAAAGTTTCCGATTTGTTGAAATTGAGCTCTCCGCCGTTCAAAATTATGAATTGAGCTTTGTAAGTATCTTGGAATCGCTCAAAATAATTTTTAAGAATTTTTCCGTGATTTTTAAGCAGCCAGAAGGGGCCCCACGTGCCCCCACGCGACACCACTGCGCGTGGGGATAGTTCGAATGACCGATTTGACCGGTTTTGGTGAATAGTTGATCGGTTTGACCGATCATAAGCCGACCTGACCCGTTGACTGTTGACCGATGTTGACCATTGTTGACCAAAACTTTTGACTGGCTTTGACCAGGCATTAAACGACCTTTGACTTTGACCGAGTATACCTATCCTGACATTTTTCGACGTTCTAAATCCGATTCCGCAGTCCGTTTTTCCAAATTCGAACCCGAAGGCCTCGATATTGCCGGTCAAACCCGTTGACTTTCATTTTGACCGAAAATTCCAAATTTTTGAAAAGTCATATTTTATGCTTTCGACGTCCTGAATCCGAATCAGAAGTCCGTTTCACCAAATTCGAACCCGGTAAGTTATTTTTCACTGATTTATCACCCGATTCGATTCGTTTATCGTAATTAAGCTCCGTTTTTTATATAATTTATGTTGATATGTATCTGAGGAATTATTGGAAGTTAAATTGAAGATCAAAGGCGTTCGAATGGAATTTTATGGTCGATCAGTATTGCACGGAAATCTAGGTAATACTGTACTACCTCTTTATGCTTTATGGAACATGTGAATATTGGTAAATGCATGATTAAGATAATGTTGGTCTCATTTGTGTAGTTAATTAGTTTCTACACTCGATATGAATGTGGTAGAAATTTGGTATCTGAATACGGATCGAATGATTAATATAAGAGATTGAAGGGTTGTTCGAATTAAATTACAAGTTTTGTGTTTAGTGATAAAGAAATCAACCTGGATCTGAAATTTATAATTTATTTCATCAAAGGTTATATGTTAAAGGTACTTGGATGGGAAATTATGAGAATATTCTAGTAGGGTAAAATTACAAAAATACTCTTATGTTATAAAAATACAAGATTTGACTATGGAAGTTGGATAAGAGGTTTTTAAAGACATATTGATATGATGAAACTACTGATGTGCATAAGAAATGCTAGTTTTGCTTAGAAAATATAAAATAACCGGTTTTTAACCCAAGAGGAGTTGAGCAAGATGCTAGAAGTCTGTTAAGGAATCTTTTCAAGATCAGAGAATGTTGGAGAAATCAATTAACCATAGGATCTTTAAATTATAATTATTTTCGTTGAGAGCTAATATCGAAATTATCTGGTTAAGAAATTACGAAAATGCTCTTGAGAGATAAAATAGTCTGAATTGACCCTGAATGAGAAAGTACTTTGAGGATTTGTACTTAACTCGATTAAGTACAAATTTAATTGTTAAGATCCTATCTTTGTACAGAAAAATTCATGATATTCCGTTGTAAAATCTGAGAAGACACTTGACCCGAAAATATTCGAATAACGAGTAAATACTTGAAGAGTAATTTATCGAGGGTATTCTGCTGTCAGAATTGTTAGAAAGAACTAAAGTAAATGATAAGTTTGAATTCAATAATAAGATCGGACGGAAGAAAATGATTGTAATACATTGGATCTGTAAAATGACCAGAATAGCCTGGAATGGAAATGATCAAGAATATCACCAAGCTCGGGAATGATTGGATATCCTCGAACTCTGAAATGAATAAAATAAAACTGAATACAAAAATTACCAAAATAACCTTATGGTCTAAACTAAGCAAATGTCTTAGATTAATTAAGGAATCCAAATAAGCATAGGTATTGGACTACCTTTAAAAGTAATGAAAAACATTTAATTGAGTATATCAACCCTAAAGCTATGTCAATATCTAAATGACATAGATATTACTGGAACGTGTATTCGTCTTCTCAAGTTTGGCTCGATGATAAATTTTGGAATTATTCAGCTCAGCTCAACTCTAGATCGCATTCAGTACTAAGAATTGGACATTTGTTCGACAAATCAACCACGAAGACCAAATTGAATGGAACGGAAATACAACATGTATATGAAATTCAGGAACGTTTGAATTACTCTGGAAAATCCCGAAGTAACTGGAATGAACATGACTGCTAAATGAACTAGGTAACTTCAATGATTGAGGATTTAGTAAGTGATTTGGATAAGTCTGAAAACTTTGATGAGTTTACATAGTGTATAATTACAATGGGTTATGAACAAATTAATCAAGTACGTCAGCATTACATGATATTGTGAAAGCGTGGAAATGAAATTAAGAATATTTGTTAGTCTCCTTAAGATATGTTCAATGATGACTCAGAAGATGATCTATGAATAATAATATTTGGTATTAAAGAGTAAATACCATGGAAGGTTAATAAATTGACAAGTTGATAAGTATTGTTTCTGGGAGCTATTCATTTGGAGTTGTTCGATAAATTGATTAATCGACATAGATTGTAAATGTCCTGAACCTTCATTTCTTCCTTACCAGCTCAAGTCATATTCTGAATAATTGATGATTTTGTCAGTTATTGAACTCTTCCAATAGTGATTCTGAATTCCGATATTCTATCGGTATACTGAAGATCTGTGTTTTTCTGTTTGATAAGATTATACAGTACCTCTGAATAATATTTGTAAACTCTGGTGTGTTCTCTAATTATATAAATATTTTATCTGATTTCCGACTTGAATTCTGTTCTGATAGATTACCTGAATTCTGTTCTGATTTCTGATCTGGATTCTGTTCTGATATCTGATCTGAATTTTATTTTGATTTCTGATATCTCCGTATACCGACGGAGAAATGTTTTATCTGGGGGGTTTATTGTTGGAGGAAGATTATCTGCAGGCTTCTCGGCTATGTGCTCAGGGCCTTACTGGTTGTGCGGGGTGTATGGTTTCGGGGAACCTACACAAACAGATTGTGAAAGAATGGAGGTGTATATATATATATATATGTTTTAAAATAAAAATCTGTATCTTTTTACTGGTTTTATGGGAACACACTAGATAACATATTCTGATCTCTTAAATTCAGTTATCCGAAATATTTCCATCTGAACTGAAAGCTCATTGTCTGTTACCACCTGAAATATCAATAGGATCTCTGCTCAGCATAAAAATCTGTAAATGTTCGGAAACAATAAGGAAATATATATTTATCTGTATCTGCACGTTCATCAGCATCATCTGATAGTTCTGTATTACTGAACTTTCCAAAGTTCTGTATTACTGAGATTTCTAAAGCTCACTCTATTACTCATCTTTTCAGGTTAAAAGAATTGTAACAGTGCATCTATCGACTTCAGTAAGGGAGTTCTTTCGGCGTTGTTACAGAGTATGTTACATGTGATTAGGATGCATGTAATTATATTTTGATTTATATACGATTCTGGAAATCTGTTTTATTTTTAAATAATGATAACTTTTATTTTGTACTCATAAATGATTTTATGAATTTACAAGTTTTAAGAAAAGTTTTAAAATTTTCGCTATTTTTACAATAGGTCGCTCCTATAGCCCTAATGTGACTTCCCGGATCGGATCGGGTTAACCACATCGGTCTGGGGGGTTACAAACACAACCAACCTGGGTTGGATAAGGTTAAATTTTTTATCGATCCGAATAAAACTCGAGTATTTTATCCCTCTGTTCATATTATCCGACTTGATCCGAGTTCAAGGAGGTTCCACCCAACCAAATTTTTAAGATAACTCACACTCAACATGGCACAATTATATTAGGAAAAATAATAACCTGTTTTTTTTTTTAAAAAAAATAGAGAGATATTATTGTAATTATCTCCAAATGTATAAAAGATAAATATACTATTATATAAGATTTTTCATCCTCCCAAATTCGACCTAACCCGATACTAATCCCAATTAAAAAGAAAACAACTCTATAAAATTTGATCAAATCAAAACCCATCGAATTCGAATCCTATATCCATCCCTAGACCAAGCCCTTCACATCAACATTAATTTTGGATGAAGTCAAAATTCAAGAGCAACATATACATGCAATGCATGAAGTGTCATTTATCAACTCTTTCCACAAAGCAAGCAATCACTTGAAATTCAAACTTAACTCTCAATTCAGAAACAATACAAGTTACTACGTTGAGACTAACATTGCTTGTAACCCGGACCTCCTTCCTTGGCCGGTTGATACAATAAAACTAATACTCAACCAACGAAATGAGAGTCCATTGCAATGGAAGAGTTAAAAAGAATCACAGACCTCATTACTTTCGATTCAATACAATGCGCAACGAATTTAATTTCCAATGCTTTTTAAAGGTAATATTTCCCTCCGGCCTTTTCCGTCCGAACAATACGGACATTGCTTGTGTACGTATAATTTATAAATAGATATATAAAGCAATTTCTTTCTGTATTTTCATGGTGTAATCATCACCGTCAGAACAATGCATATGTATAATGGATAAATGGATGTAAAAAGCAATTTCTTTCTCTATTTTCATGGTGTAATCATCACCATACATCCCGTAGATACCTGCCAGTAGTTTGCAGATTTTTCACCATGCTCTCAGCCTTTGAGCTGTCCAGACATCCCTGAAATCGACAAAGTTCGGTGCACCGAATTATCAAAACAGGAAAAGTTTTCAGGCACCGTGTGCATATATATTCGTTTTCCGAACTTATAGCATCGGAATGAGAAATTGTAAGAGTTGCAGTAGCTTTTTGTTTAATCAAATTGCCTTCCAACATGGCAGCAGCTGGTAATTATTGATATCAGCAATTATAGTCTCGGATCCGCTTGTAATGAACATACCTGCTCTTGCAAAATAGTGTGTAGAGTTCGATGCACATCTCTAGCCATGCCCTTGGCATCACCACATACATATAGGTAACCTCCCTGAGAAATCATGTTCCAGATGTCCGAGGCCTGGAAAGAACGCGGAAATGTGCTTAGAGGTTGAAATTAAGGGTACTAGAAAGAGAACCAAAACACACAATTCGTCCGAAAAAAAAATTGTATCCTGCATTTCATGATGGTAGGTGAAACCATGTCCTGTACCTTCTCCATCATCTTGTGTTGCACGTATTCCTTGGTAGGCCCCTCGCGTGAAAAGGCAACCACAAGCTCGGAAAGTGCTCCACTGTGGACAAAGTGGTTGAGCTCGTCTTCATAAATGTAATCCTGGACGAAATAAAATTATGTAATGAATTAAATTCGTAGTTTAGTTACAAATGTATCCCTAAACCCAACAGGCTGGAGATATGAAACTTATCATGGGGCTGGAAAGTGCATGACTTACCATTTTCCTATTCCTGCAGCCGAAGAACAATACCGATGGACCTAGATCGGATCCAGCTTCTTTCAGGGCAAGTCTTTCCTGAAAAAGAAAATATGAATAATTAGTTTACAATTTCTCTCAACATGATGAACATTGAAAAGGTGATAGAATTTGCCTGAAGGAATCCCCTGAAAGGAGCCAGTCCAGTACCAGGGCCAATCATGATAATTGGCACTTTAGGGTCTGAAGGAAGTTTGAAGTTCGACTGCCTGACAAAAATAGGAGCCCAGCTGCAGTCATGGCTTTTATCCGACGGCATGGAACTCTGAAAGAAAAGGCAAATGGGGATAAAGATCATATTAATACTATTATTCAATAAAAAAGACTGAAATACGACAGGGACAATAAACATCAAAGCATGGCAACATGGGATTAGATATCATTTATCTTCTCAAAATTTTCATCTAAGTTTCCATCAACTTCAATGGCTGCCTTGTCTCGACTATAAAAATGAGAAAAAGGAAACATGGTGAACTGAGTACCTTCATCCAAGTTGAACAAACTCCTTTGTGAGTACGACCTGTTGGTGTCTTCTCATAAACTAATGCACAAGTTACATGAATTCTAAATGGTGCCATCCTGTAAAACATAATTATAGATGGTAAATATGTTCACATACATTTAAAAATATTAGAGCTAGAATAAAAACATTAAATTGAAGATGGTTGAAGTGTTCCTAAACGAGAATATCTCATAATGCTACCGACTTATCAGCTATTAAACATTTTTTCACCTTGGCGAGGATGAGATGGAATAGTATCTAGGCTGCAACCGTGGGGCAACAGCGGCAAAAAAAATGCCAAGTGGAGGCCTGGCTGAAGGAAATTCAGCCATGACCTCAAGGAGGCTTCTCTGACTTGCAACCATCCATTGTGCATATTCATCCTGTATAAATGTCAGAAGGTGCATCATCTTACAAACAAGCCACAAATACATAAATCGATCTATAATAAAAATTGACTCCTCGAACCTTTCCAGCAGGCGATGCAAGGTGCCTTAACCGATCAGCTTCAGTTGGATCAGAGGCATGAGCTGCCAAAGCAAGTAAGGCAGACTGGGAGTTGTATGCATTAAAGAATTAGCTTCATTATTCAAAGAAAAACAAAGAAGAGTTCTTATATATCGAGAACAAGAAAATAATTTAACCTTTTTTGGTGAGCTCAAAAGATCAGCATATCGTGCTATTGCTGTCTTTAGAGTGCAAGGTAGGAAAGGAGGAGGCAAAGAACTTCCACCAAGTGGAGTGCCATCCTCTTTATCAGTATGAACAGAGAAATAGGTGTTCGGTGATAGTCCCAACAATCTCAATGCTTCCTCTACAACTTCGTCTAGATTCTCACAGTAAACACCAACATGATCACCAGTTTCATACCTGAAATGATGTTAAAAGGAAAACTTGACATTAGAAGCACTCAGCATCTGATATAAAAATGAGGATAGATAAAAGCAACTTACGAAAGTCCGGTGCCAGCAATGTCAAATTCAAGATGGGTGCAAGAACGATCAGATGCAGGAGTATGAAGCTCCTTCCTTACAGCCACATTAGACCTTTAAGTTACAAACAACAAAACAAGTTAGTTTTCATCAAAGAAAAATACTAAAAAACTGTCACCAGGATATCTGTAAAAACTATTCTTGTATACCTGCATGGATGTTGAGCATCATAAATAGTATGGCCATTTGCATTGCTCCAGTTTTTATCCTCAACAGGTGCATTTGCAGGATCATAAAATACAACGCGGTATTCCAAAACAGCAGCAGTGTATGGAGTAGAAACAGTTTGTTGCATCATCTTCATCACGCAAAAGCTGATCCAACTTGGGCCACACAGATTCACGCCTAGAAGAGCAAGATGATTCAGTAAAGGGTAAAGGTGAAAGAATGAAATAAATTTTTATTCAAACAGATAGGAGGTTCTTAATACCAAGCCGTAAAGTCATCTTCAATGCATTGGTCATCATCTCCGAGACCCAAAGGAACTAGGCGCTCCGCTCCTGCAAATAAAGGATAATGTCGGACTATAGGTTCATAAGTAGTGAAATTTGATGAAGACATAGATGAACCAACGATAAAACAATCTTTTACAGTTTTACTACATGGACCCAAGATTTTATCCATCTGTTCATAAGCAGGGAGGATAGAAGAAAAATTATGAGCATACCCTGCTCTGTAAGAATGTCATCAACCACCTTTGCAATCTTGTTAAAATGTTCATACTGTCTGTTGCCAAGCCCAAAAACTCCATACTTCATGTTCTGAAGCCATTCTCCCGCTCTTTTCCCTAACCAATCACACATTCAATAATTCAATAACAGCTAATTAAACAGAATCTAGTAAACGGCGATTATCATAATTTCGCTAAAGAAAATAACTCATATCATCATCCCAGCCTCAATTAATATTTACCTCAGTTAACCATTTATAGAATCTAATTATCAGTTATCAGCGAATCAGTGAAACAAGTTCTAAAAATATACATATAATTTATACACATAAGCACAGCAATACAAATATAAAAGTATAATCCTAAAAAGAATTCAAAATAACTCACGTGGCTAGGAAGAAAAATGTCAAACTCTCCTTCATCATCTTCTCCTCGTATTCATCATCATCGGCCGCATAATCATCCTACATATAGTACCCCCCCCAA